CATGCACACAAGTACATATGCAAACACACAGTCTTGCAATATTTGCCAAAAGCTAATATATATGTAATATATAACCCCATGCAAGTAAATGTACATGTGCACATATACATTAATATACACAGACTTACATTGTCCTCCAATTGCTGATATATATGAACATATACATGTATATGTATATTTGCATGCACAGTCCTTTTCATTCTTTTATAATCACTTCTCATTTCACCATTTATCCTCCCAAACTAGATTTAAAGCCTTTTAGGAAATAGATCTTTGGTATTTTATATGTAGTTTTCACATTATCTAAGGCAGTTCATACCATCAATAAATATATGATAGTCAACCCATTCATAACGTTGCAATTATTTACTGAGTACATACTTTCTCCTGTTTTCTAAGATATCACCTAGAAAAACTTCAGTGAACAAGACAAGCTCATTTTCTGTTCCCAAAATACTCAGTGTTTTGAATAGCCAAGATTTTTTTTAACTTTTCATAGGTATATAATATATGCTCATTGTTGAAAAAATTAGAATATGACAAAGTTAAAGGAAAAAGTGTAAATTCATCTATATTTCCACCAGAATGATCGAATATTCTTGAAAGCTTTCATCCACCATTCCCTTGAGAGCATACAGGACACCGTACAGACAAGAAAACTGGAAACCATCTTTTTTTCTTTTACAAAAGTTCACAGTATCAGACCTTCCTGCGAGTTCCAGCAATTACCCAACGTGAATGCACGCTACAATTGAGGGCCCCCCTCTCCACATTAGCAAAAGCAGACTTCAGAACATATTATGAGTAATGACCTAGAGACAGTTATATTCTCACTCTCCATGTTTTAAAGACGCCCAAGTAGCTGCATACAAAAGTAACAAGTCAATGAATGAAAGATGCCCATTCAGTGGAATCATAGAGGCATTAAAGCAGAGGTTAAAATAAAGCAGTGATGGAACTTCCCTGGAGGTCTAGTGGTTAAGGCTCTGCCTTCTAATGCAGGGGGTATGGGTTTGATCCCTAGACAGGGAACTGGGATCCTACCTGCCACAGGGTGTGGCCAAAAATTATGAATAAATAAACATAACATCATAAATCAACTATACTTTGACTAAAAAAAAAAAAAAATTAAAGCAGAGACAAGGTGGCCCTCAATGTCCCAGAAGAGCCAATGTGTTATTTAACCTAAGCTATGTGACCCATCTTTACACACTGCCGTGCTATAAAAGTACTCCTTTATTCTCCTCTTCAAACAATGCACAAAGCAACAGAGAGAAGGAAGTTGTGTTGCAATATTCTGAAACATAAATCTTGCTACCAGTCGATCCAGGGACAGCATCCTGTTTTCCTGACACATGGATCAGATTCACTGGGCGCTGCACCTATAGGCCTTGTGCCCTGTTTCTCTGGGCTTCTGAGTCATACCTGGTCACCTGCATTTACACATCCAAACACAGGTTGTGCAAGCAGAGATCGCTGTTTGTGTGCCCAGTTACTCAACCAGCATGCACAGTTGCGTGTCTGCTCACCCTGCTCCTGTTCAGAATCTCACTGTTTCCCAAATCAGGACATTCAATTTCATTCTTTCATTTTCTTCTTCTTACGTTACATAAAAATTAACCTTAGACTCAAATGTATGGGAGAGGTCAAAGGAAGAAATTTCTATTTATTCCCAACATTTAAATATTCTGCAGTACTAAATGTAACTCTTAAATACCCTCTTTCTTCCTGCTTTGATGAGAATTCAGAAACCCTGTGGCCAGTTTCCAGCAGTGTCATCAATGTGCTATTTGAGTCAGGGAAAAGTGTTAAACGACTCAGTGCCTTATTTTATTCTGGGAATCCGAGGTAGATAATGCTTGTTATTGGCAGATCAGAGGTGGCAGAGACCATGACTGTTGGGCTTGCTCAAGTACAAGGCCTTCACAAATGTGATGAGGCAGGATTTTGAGAACAGGAGGAGCGTGAGTGAGCACAGGTGAAAGTCCATCCGCTGTGACAGGTTTAAAGTCACAGGCGCTGGGAAATACCTGGGGTGACGCAGCTTTGGGAGAAGCAACGTGCAAAGCTGTAGCCACTCAAGTTATTCTGTTGCCTACAGAGCTTCTTCACAGGGGACATCACAGTTTTAGAATTCCACCTATGCTCAAAACACACTTTTATTTTTCCATTATACAAGAGATGTCTGAGTTTAACACTAGCGGGTAAAGAGTGGAGGCATCTTTTCTCTATACAAATGCTGAGAAAGCTGCTGCTGGGTGTAACGGTGCTGCCACACATGTCCTTATTACCCTTTAATCCACAAAGAATGGGTTTTGTGACATCAGAGAAAATGTTATGGGGACTTATATATACAGTCACTTTTTGGCTGTCTGCCACTAAGAGAAAGTCTGACATATCAGTCCTGAGGCCCTGAGCATCTCAATAATTGTATATGGCTTCTAAGTCTTTGTATCCTGTATATTTTCTCTCTTGGAAATATGACTGATTCATCTTCAGAGTTTTCTAAAAATTGCAAGTAACTTTAAAAAAAAAAAAAAAAAACAGGGTTTCTCCACCTAAGCACTGTGGTCACTTGGGGTCAAATGATTCTTTGTTGTAGGGAGTCATCCTGTGCCTTGTGGGATGTTAAACAACATCTCTGGTCTCTACCTGCTAATTGCCAGCAGGATCCCCCTGCCCCCAGTCCTGACAATTAAACATCCCTCCAGATAATACTAAATGTCCCCAGGCAGAAAAAATTGCCTTTGGTTGAGAACCACTGGTTTAAAATGACCTAATGACAAGTTAAATGAATAAACCTTGTGTTTAGAGTGTTGAAAACAATTCTGCTAGTGGTAAAAAGTTACACAGGAAAACAAAAAGGGTGTCTTCATGTAGATTAAGCATCCATAGACATCCAACTAGTTCCAAACCAAGTCCTCTGAAAGTGTTAATGAGAAGTACCTCACCCAGGTGTCACGACACGAAATTCAGGGACACAGGTCACAGAAAAGGTTGTATTTGCAACCAGCCCACCAGGTAGGCACCAACTACCATGCCACCAACCCCTCCAACACACACACACACACACACACACACACACACACACATACACCTTTTTAGTTATTCCCTAACCATCCTCTGCAAAATGCATGGCATTCACCCAATATGAAATAGCCGATTTTTAGATAAGAGGTCTATGGAGATGAACATTTTTAAAAGTACTGTTTATTTAATGCAGCATGACTTAAAATGGGCCTGTAACCTGACAAGTGTACTGAATGAGGAATGTTCAATTTACCAGTTCGAACCAGCCAAGTCCTCACATGAACTTTCCGAGACCCGGCTGAGAAGCCTGGGAAAGTATAACTAACCACAAACCCTCAGTGTTTCCTCCACCTGATTCCTCCTCCCCAGCCTTAACTCCATTACCTTAAGCACTCTTCTAAGACCCACTTAATGCTCCAGACGTATTATAAAATCTTAGCCGCTGACAGAATCTACAGCCACCTCAGCGTACCAGCTATATACCTGCTTCCATGTCAACCAACACTGAAAGCAAAGATTCTGTTCTATTTTTAAATATATTGAGCAAAGAAGCAGCTTGATATGTCTTTGTAAAGGATGGCTGTCACCCAAATTCAGTTATTCTATTTTTAATCAATGATAATAGACTTTGAAGTCAGATACACCTGGGGTTCAAATCCCACGTCTGTGTCAATGGTGTGATTTGGGGAAAATCACTTAGCCTCTCTTAAACTCACTGTCAGCATATGTAAGATGAGAATGACAAGAATAGTACCTAAACAATAATAGGTTGTTTTGAGGGATGAGCATGATGACATATGTAAAGAAAAGTATTCCAAGATGTTGGCCACTTTGTTATTACTATTACTATGCTGAATCTACCATATTCATCCTTCACTCACTACTCATGAAACACTTATTCAACACCTTCTGTGTGCTGGAAAAACTCAGTAAATATTGTAAAATGGGTTTTCTTAATGACTCAATAAACATTTATTCAGTGCCTTTTATGTGCTGGGTGCTGGAAAAACTCAATAAATATTGTAAAATTGGTTTTCTTAATGACTCGAGATTTCAACCAAACAACATTGAAGCATAAGAAGTGTCTCTGCTGGTAGATAAAAAATACTTTTATAGTGCTTTGTATGAATCCTGGCACATGGCAGGTAGAAAATGTTACATGAGAATGGTGGTGCTAGAGGTGGCGACACTGAAAACTAGTTGATTCAACAATCCTAACTCGTTTTACTTACTAGAGTAACCACTTCGTTTGTCCCCGTAAGAAATCATTCATTTTCAAGTAAATGAGTACTGATCTTGTGAGAAAGAACTTTTCTCAAAGTAACACTTTAATAGGTGCAGATTAACATTCTTTATTATAGGGTAGGCTTATAATAAAGAGTCTAGAGTCTGGGAGGTAATTTTCACTACTGAAAGGTAAATTAATTTTGACTAAATTATAAGTAAATACCAGAGTAGTTGGGTGTAGAAGTTCCCATAATATAAAGAAATCAGAGGTATCATCAAAATATAATATTAATAGTAAAAAATAAAAACAAAAACAAAAACCCCTGCCTACTATTTTACAAACCTACTTTGTAAAATAAGTAAAGGTAGACCTAACCCTTTGGTTAAAAGGAAATGCATTCTTTTACATTTTACATTAGGTACCATTTTCTGTGGGAAATAGGAAAAAACAGGTTTCATCATTTAGTCTTCTTGTCATTCATTCTTTCACAATCTCTTAGTATTTCAACAGCGTTGGATACACTCTGTTATGGGTCCTCAGGGCCTTAATTCTCAAAAAAAAAAAAGGTCATTTGTTTTCCAAATATTGTTTTTCCACAAAATAGGAAGCATCTAACTATGATTAAAAAGTCTTTTGGTGGCAGCTAAGTAAGAACCCATTATGCTTTCAGGCCAATAATCATGTTAAGATGGCCTAAACCAAGTTCAATGAGAAATTAATTTTTCTGAAGGGCTGTCCTTACCTCAAATATGTTTGAAGGCTCGTTGTTGTACTGATTAGATATTATTTCTGATTGGTCACTGCACCACTTGAGTCCACCCAGAAAGCTGTCTGTATCCAAGTCGTTCACGTCTAGTTCAGAAAGGTCAAGTTCAGGAAGATCTGGGCAAAGAGGCTGGTCTTCACCAACCAGAGCAGCACACTGCAGGAGGCAGGGAGAAGAAAAAAAAAAAAACTTTCATTAACTGCAGGAATTTATTAAACTGTAATAGCATGTGATAGGAATTAAGCCTGGTTAATTCAACGACACCATCAAAGCTGGTTTCCAGGGGTTTAGTCCCCAGAAAAAAACATCCGAGACTCTTTAACTCCCTTTGCTCCCAACGGATACTTTGCCAGAACCATTCCATCCTGAACTCTACCTCTGAATCCATGGTAAATGCCATGCTTCCATGAAGTCGTCTGATTTGTCCAGTTAGAAATAAATTTAGATTTGTTTGTACCTCTTTGATAGCACTTAACCAAGTTTCAAATTGGTTTCTGATTAACTTTAAGCAAAATTTCACTCCATTCTTTTTTTAAAAAAAGAGAATAAGCTCTTTAAAAACAAAATTATATCTTTATTTTGCTCTGCAGGTCTTAGTTGCAGCATGCGGGATCTTTTACTTGTGTTATGCAAACTCTTACTTTCGGCATGTGGGATCTAGTTCCCTGACCAGAAGTTGAGCCTGGGCCCCCTCCTGCATGGGGAGCATGGAGTTTTATCCACTGTAGTCCCAGAGCATAAGCACTTTGAGTAAGTGAAAGTTGCTCAGTCCTGTCTGACTCTTTGCAACCTGATGGACTTTATCCCACCAGGCTTCTCTATCCATGGGATTCTCCAAGCAAGAATACTAGAGTGGATTGCCATTCTCTTCTCCAGGGGATCTTCCCAACACAGGGATTGAACCCAGGTCTCCTGTATTACAGGAGGATTCTTTACTATGTAAGCCATCAGGGAAGCTCTTTGAGGGAAAATTATAAATTTGATTTCACCTTGGAATTGCCATTACACATAAGAGAGACAAAATAAGTGATTACTAAATGAGAAAAAAATAAGAACTATACCAGGAAAACTCTCCACTTCTGCTCCCTTTAACTATTATAATCCATATAATTCATTTAGCAACTAATGATGCAGAGTCCTTTAACGTGTCCATGGTTCTCTTGAATTGTTATTTAAATCCTTTATTCTTACTTGACTTTTCATGAGCTTCTGAACTTCATCTTAAACAGGTCAAAAACAAGTCCCTTGAGATGAAGGACAGAAATCACATTTCTTATTATCATTGTATCTTTCACTATGTGTAACTAGCAAGTCGCGTGTGCTCACGTGTGGGTCTGTGGATGGATGTATACAGTTGGGATCACCTGACGTGTGAAGAGAAAAATCACTCTACCACACAACAATCATATTTTTCTTCATTATTTATATTTTCCTCAACTATGCTCTAAGTGAATTCAAAGGAACAATTTTTTTCTTTCGCATTTTAAAAAATGATTTCAATATATTGAGAGGCTTAAAATACCCTCTACTGTGGCTGGGCTGCTGGTCACCTCCTTGCATACAGTAAGTGGTCTGTTAACTGTCCCCTATGGTGGCTTTTTGAGAAAGCAGACCCCCTTCCCAAAGAGGCGGATTTCTACTTTGAATTGGCTATCTGACCACTAACAGCACTGCAGTCTGTGAAGAACCCTGCAGAAACTGCTTATTGCAGGGGTCTGGTGATAGAGTTATAATGACTAACCCACCTGCAAGCCGAGAGGTCTCAGGCGGCAGGCACACCCTCCCAGGTGTCAACCTCACGGCGCTCCCTTCCAAGGTCAGGAGAGATGCTGGGGAGTTGTTCCTATCCAGGCAGCAGTTGGGCATGAAGCTGAAGATGCTGCTTGACATTTAGATTTTGAATAAAATAAGTTCTATGCAGATTTTTTTCTCAAGCACCCCTGTCATCCCTGGCAGGCTACATTACACGGGTCATATGCAGCAGTGTGATCGTAAGCACCACGCTGAGAAGTAGGTACTGGGTAATGGAGTCAGCAGTTGGTAAGGGGAGGCTGGGAGGAGCCTGAACATTCCTGCAGTTCCTCCCTAAGACCACCAGGCCCCAGAGAGATCCTGAAAGGCAGGCGCAAAGGTAATGTCAAGGAAGAGCAATCACCTCCATTGCAACTCTTTCCTTATCATTTTATTGGTCTTTCCTTTTTTATTATTGGAGTTATCCCAAAGTTACAGGTCAGTATACTAGACTAGGTTTATAAGTAAGCTAGGCCGAAGAGAAGGTTTTGTTCTGGTGCAATGTTCATGTTTTGTTATGGGTGTAACACGTCGCAGTCTCTGCACTTGTTCACTGCTTATCCTCCAAATACAATACATACACATACTGTTAACTCTTCTACAACATGACCAATTCAGAGACAACGGGAAAACTTTTTCAGTGGTACAAAAACTACTAGGATTGGGGGAAAGTCTTCAAAATAAAAAGCAAAAACAACCAAAAAATAATAATAAGTTAGATAACACATGATCTGTGCATTTGGCTTAAATTCCTTTTGTGAATAGCACACTCGAGAACCCATGTCTTGGAATGCTGACACTGATTTGGTGGACAACTGCTTACTGTCTCTCTCTTTAACAGCCCGCTACAGGCATGGCCTCTTCAAAACCCTTCAACCTTTCAGAAATACGTATTTTTCAGTAACTTTTAAAACCACTGAAAAGATCAGATCAATTTTTTTTTTTTTTGTATTTCACTTTGATGTCATTCACATATTTCTTTCCTTTCCTCTCTCTGTCAGTTTCTCTCATTTTTGCTTTTCTGTTATGGCTGAAAAATATGCATATGCCCTTGCCAATGTTGACGTGTTAATAAAATCAAGACTTCTAAACGTGGCATTATCCTGATAATCTAAAACACATTAGTGGTAGCAAGTGTTCCTGTTATTAATTTATATTTGGTCTTTGGATGATGCCAGCTTAACAGTCCGAGCCCTGTAACTGTCCTCATTTGACACGCTGGTATTTGCTGCTTCCCTATACATTTGTAACAGGTGTGCTTTATGGTAATTTACAGAGACACATTCTACTGCCTCTCTGCAACTATGACAGCTATTTCACAACCGCAGCCTTAATTTTATAATAAGATTTAAAAGGAGAAAGCAGTCACTAAACACAAAAGGCTAATTATTGTACGTTATTTCACCCCAACAGACTTTTCTCTTAGTTAAGGAGCAGACAATAAATTAGCTTAACTGTACTGATGATAATGAATCATTATAATTAAGTATAATTCTCCATTAACCTTTTGGAGGTTTTTGTGCCATTGATGGTAAATTTTAAAGACAGGGAGAGCAGAAAGAGTGGACTTGGCCACATTAATTATATTAACGAAAAAAGAATCTTACTTCTTAAAAAAAATTAGTCAAGGCAGGGGAGAGAGGGGAGGGAAGGGGTCAGTAAACAGTGATAGTCTTAGTGGAGTGTATGTCATCGGAACTGTCTCTATCAATCTTAGTAACCTTATTGGACATCACCTTCATTAAACTGTGAAACACCAGGGACTCCGAGCAGCTACAGTGATATAGGCCTTTATTAACCAACGTGCAGTCTTGTCATTATGTGCAAAAGGGCATAATACGTTTTAGGATGACAGCAAACATTAATGATTCAAAAAATGAAAGCGGCCTACACTACCTGCTGCTCATAATATTTGAGCCTGGCGGAGGTGATTCCCAGGGCTGCTGCCGCCAAGGCCGGGCTGCTAGCCGCCTGCTGCCTCCGGTGCAACAGAACGACTGGCCAGTTTCAGCCGACCGACCAACAACTCAGTCCACGGCTGGACAATTAGCCCGAGACCTCACCTCCCTAAGCACAAAATTAAAGAGCCCCTGTTCTAAACGGTTCTGGTGCTTCTTTGAATATGACTGCAGGAATGCCAATGATGAATGTAAATCTTCCCTATTTCCATATGATCTAGTTTCTCAATCAACTCCTAACGGCATCAGGAATAATACATGATGGAAAAATGAAACTACAGCAGCTGAGACCCACAGTGCCAGCCAGACAACCACCCACAGGATACTCCAGCTACTCGAAGACAAGTAGGACTTTGAAGCCACTTAGAACCCTGACTCATAATAGCTACAGGATATACGAATTATCCATATTTCTTCCACCTTACCAAGAAATCACAACAAGATAAGAACAATTACAATCCGCAAAAACGCATCTGCCAAGGCGGGAGAGAGGGCAGAGGAAGCCAGCATTTGCAAATCCAGCGAAGAGTTAAGAATCCGGGGCATGCCTCGCTAGAGAGGAAAAATGCCTGGGCCAAATTATTTTCACTTTAGATGTGTATCGCCGTACCACATGGACATCTTATTTAATCAAATCACGTGTAGCCCTTGATCCTCCCCTTACCCTACGTGCCCCCAGCTTCCCAGAGGAAGCTCTCCCAGTCCTTTGCCAGATTCATTGTTAGCCACTCAGATTCTCCCTGCAATTCAATTCGGGTCCATCTCACCAGAGTCCACAGAAAGTTTCACTTGTTTCCCAAGTTGGCCAAACTTTCCGAGAACATTCCATTGTGTTGAATGCAAACATGCCGCCGTCCTCCGTCCCCCCCGCTAGTCACTCTAGACTCCAGAGATTACGAGGAAACCGGCTTGCTTTTTTCCTTCCCCTGCATGAACTGTAGCCAGCAGAGACTGTGGAATTGATGTATTGCCGTCTATTTTTACACAAGCAGCGAGCATTTCCACACACAGTCCTGCATAAACTCTATTCTCTCTCCGGCTTCAGGCAGCTCTCCGTGGTACAGACAGTTTTAACCATTGGCTTCCCTGCCCGGATGCTAAACCTTGTACTGTAAAGCAGGTCTTTTTTTTTTCTTTTTGCTGGCCAAAGCTTTCAACCACACAGAGGAGTTTTAAAGGAATCAGCTTTTGTTGTTTTGTGTTCTGTGGGAAAAGCAATCTAAAATAGCCCAGCAGGATTATTTAGGATTTTCTGAGTTCTCCGTCTGATGAACAGAGAGAGAAGGAAAAAAAAAAAAAAAAAAATCCGGACTAGAGTCAAAACTGACTAGATTTGAGTCCATCCATTTTAATATTTTTATCTTCATCTTATTATAAATAGAAATGGCATTTTTCCAACCAGGCCACTAAACACCACTGGAAAGACTTCAGCTTCTGATTCATATCAATATCTTAGAGCATAAATATTGCATATGAGTAGAAACAGTGCCAAAGGCACATGGAAAGAGTTTCTAACTGCAACAGATCCTGGTGACAGCAGCTAAGCTTTGATTTGTTCAAGGTATCTCAGAGTCGCCTTAAAATAGCAAACTTATAGGAGTTAAGATAAGATTGAGATTGTCTTCCCAAAGCGCCTGCCCCGGCTACTTTTCTGCCTCCTCTCCTCGCCCAAACCCCAGCCCTTCCCCCCCTCGCAGGAAGAATTGCATCGCGAGGGAAGCTTTGGTCCTGGCTGCAGTGCCGAGCCCAGCCCCAGCTCACCTCGATGTCACTCCATACAGAGTCCTGGTTGCACATGTCCCACGCCATCCAGCTTCTGAATGACGCCAATCAAGCTCTTTCAACTCCAATCCACACTGACACAGAGCATACACTCATGCAGGCAACCAGCCCCTTACTGAGAGTGAGCCGAAGGCACCTGTCTTACTACAGTCCCCAGTCACATGACAAAGCTATTAAAAAGTAGGCTGGGCTGTCACTCACCCAGCCTCCCTTCCCCGGTGCTGCTAGCTGCTCAAACTTGTGACGTCACTCAAAGGCAGCCCTCTGCCTCAGTGAAGTAACGCTTACAAAAAAAAAAACGGAAAGAAGAAAGAAAGGGAACACTTGGACTTTTGGAGCATCATGCTGTGACTAAAGCCAGCTTTGAATGCCACCAACTCTGAACGGAGCCCTGACGATATAATAACTAAAATCCCCTGCAATCTTTTTTTAATTTATTTTCCTTCCAAAACAAGCAAGTGGCAAAGCTCCCTGTTTCATGACAGAGTAACTACATTCTTAGCTCAAACGTGTCCTCCCTCAGGACTCAAATGTGAAGACATCCAAGTGAACCCGGTTTGGGACTAAAGCAAGATAGTATCACATGATGCATTTTTATGAGATATTTTCTAACTGGGGGGAGTGTTTGAAAGCAGAGGATGAGGCATGATTTTTTTTTTTTTTTTTTTGCTTATTTAATCAACAAAACAGACTGTCTTTCTTAAGGTATAAACAAACTCCTCCACGCAGAAAACGGCTGTCCCCGTGGCAGCAGGGAATACCAGCTCCTGAGAAGTGTTACTGCAGTTTGCTTTGCCCCATATAAGGAGAACAAGCAACAAAATGCCATCCTTTCAGGGTCCTTCAGATTATTTCCATTTCTCTCATGGTTCTCAGGAAACAAGTTAGTAAAGACAGTCGCTGCAGCTTTTGCCCAGATCAGCTTAGTTTCCAGCTGCCTTTTCTCCCCCCATACATGTAGCATTTCCTTTCTAACTGCCTTAGGGTGCCTTTTTGAATAAACACTGGATTCCAACCCTAGTGTCCTGGCTTGTGCATTTTGCCTGTGAGATCAAGAATGTTCATGGAGTCGGGGAAAAATACCAACATGTTATTAACAGAAATATTCATTTCTTGAGCTTTTTCATTTTTTGAATTTTTCAGCTTGGAGCCTGAGACAATGAGAGCTAACGCAGGTGCAACTGTTTTAGAATAACACTACACATCGAATCCATAACAAATTCAAGGTACTAGACAACTCTGGGAAGCACTTCCCATAACCCCACAGTGGTCCGATTTAACCCTTCCAAGTTCCAGAGTGATGTACACGTGGTTGTATATTTGTGATTAAACCCCATATACTTTTAAAATCAGCTCGATTCTTTTACTTGACAATATTTCATCTGAAAAATAGTTCCCCAGGTATCTAAAAATAATTCTCAAGCACTATTTGTTTAATTTTCTATTCTACTAAGTTTAATTTAATGAATTCTCTATTGTCCTTCCCTTCATCAAGAAAAAAATGGTGATTTGCTCTAACTATAAAGTCACCCAGATATTAAGGTGAAAGAAAAAACAACCCAAAAAGCAAAAAAAAAAAAAAAAAAAAAACCACCAGACTCTTTCTTCTTTCAGATCACAACTCTTTAAAAACAATTCCCTTACTCTGATACCTGCAACAAGTTGCTAGTATATTCCTGAATAATGTGATGAAATTGACAGTTTGTCATTACTGGACATAAAAAGATGGCCAAAAGCGTTGACATTTTAAGTTAGCTGAACACATTTCACTGGCACATTTTGCCTCTTACAAAGAGTGGAAAATTACCGTAGTTTTAATTTTCTAAATCAAGAAAGAACAGGGAAATACAACCTCAGGAAGGCTTTTATACATGCAATTAGTGGCATTACTCTGCATTCCCCACAAAGAAACACTAATTTTCTTCACAATTATATTCTGATTTAATGTAAAACTATAGTAAATTATTAAAATGCAGGGCAAAGGTCATTGGCTCTGCCCTCAACACAGTCAACTGTGAAATAATATTGGTCACTTGACCAAGAAGAGCTGATGTTTATTCATTATTATCAGGTGATCCCTGTGTCGTGATATTCTCTGATATTTTTGTGTTCATTGAATGCTAGGCATCCATTATATATGTGTGTGTACATATATTTTTATTAATCTTATTTACATCTTTTAGAGAACTTCTTTACACTGGAATACTCTGTATTATTGTTTTTGATATTTGAATCTGTTTATATTATGTTGTCAGGGCTTTCTTATCTGTCTTTTTTGCCACCTAGTTCTACTGTTTCTTAATTAAATCAGCACCTACTGAAACCAAAGGTAGATATGTGTGTGTGTGTGTGTGTGTGTGTGTATACACAGTTCACTGGCACATTTTCCCTCTTACAAATAATGGAAAATTATACATATACTTTTTTTTTCTTACTATCATGAAGAGAGGAAAAGGGTTAGTGAGAAGTCGAAACATTGAAATGATTTATAAACTACTGCATACTACAATTTTTCTCACAAATTTATATTACTGTATACACATACAAATTTACCTAGATCCTTGGGGCAAATTAAAATAACTTCCACTATCTTTTTTTTTGTTTGTTTCAAAATGATAACTAATGAGAGGGATATTTTTGAGTTCTTATAATTTGGTTAATTAGCTCTTCAGATTAAAGTTTCTCTTATGTCCAGTTTTTCTTTTCTCAGGAAAACAAAAATTGTCAGTCACTCATCAACCTTGGTCTTTCCCAGGAAGTTTCTATATTTGATTCCCCTTCTGCCTTGACTGTTTCCCTTCCTTTCGCCCTGCGGCCCTCTTGTTACCCTTTCATCAATTCTGCCTCCACAATTTCCAAATGTTTGGTTTCAATCAACAAAAGTCTATTGAAACCTTACTGTGTCCACAACAATGTATTTCAAAGGCTGCCAAGGCAGCATATGTCATGGACACAAGGGAACTTACGATTTGGGGGATGACAGATATTAAAAATGGAAAATAATCTGATATGAAAGAAGCAATGCTATTTTCCTCAATATCCAGATTCCTGTCCTCCTTAAAATATACCGTTTCTAGGTACAAGGTCCTTTCAGTAAACACTAAATGCACACCCAAATAAACCCCATTTTGTCTCAACAATAGAAGGAGGTATTTATTAACATCTGTTGAGTGCCCATGATGTTCCAGATCTACACAGAGCCTGGATTCCACCCCAGTGGATTTTCTCTGCTCAGAAGTTCTGTTAACGTTTCTCAAGACTCCAACAGAAGTGGAGGCAAGAGGATCTATCCTTAAAGTTGATAGCAAAGGAGAAAATAAACCTTCAAGAGACTAATTCAATTCTTTGGAAAAAATGTAACTAAGTACATAACATTTATGTTTCAATCCCCACTCCTGCCCCAAATTCCAGGCTTTTGCTCCCCTCCATATTTCAGACAACTGCCATTTCTAAAAAAAAATGAACACAATCAAATTGAATTACCCAGGTAAACGACAGGAAAGACAATTGGTTTTGATCTAATTGTTACATGTATAGGTGAGAACTCAGAAGTAAAGAGCTACTAGCATAAATATCTTTGTTCATTTGTTTTTCTAAGCTTACAATAAACTACATAAGAATAAACTTAAGGCTGAAAATTTTCAAGAAAGAGAAAGGGAGAAGAAAATCTACGGCAGAGCTTATAGGGGCGAAGCATTGAGATCAGCAGTTTAGACACCACATTTCAATCAATCTAGTCCTCAAAACTATCCAATAAAGATGATCTGTGTACCCATTTTATAACTGAGAAAAATAAGACAGAGCCAGGATTTTCGATAACAGTCAAAAAGAGCATACAGATCTCTAAAAATCCTTTCTGGAAGACTGAAGTTTCATATATAAGGTTAACATTCATTCTCAAATCAAAAGCACAGCTAAGTCCCCTGAGGCAAATTTATAACCTAGAGACCATCTATTTAATGGGAAACCAACATTCCTGGGTATGCTACCTGCCTAGAAAGGAAAGGGATCTGCCCAGAATGGCTAATATTTTTAAAGTTAATCATTACTAACAGGCATTCAATTGCTGGCTTTTAATTCCTGGAGGGGCTCATTGATCCTGAAACTCCACATCAGTGTCTGAGCACGTGCTCTGAGCCCCTGGGACGTGTTCGAAGCTGTGGCTGTGCAAGGCACAGAAGCTGGTAGGAGGGCAGGGTATAATAAAGGCCCCTAGTCTACAAACACTCTAAAATGAAGCCTTATTTTACACAAAACCACCACAGTGATGTCACTGTGAACTAAGCATGTTTGGGCAACAAATAGAGGAAAATCAGTGGACAACTTTAATGCCTCCTAGCATTCATTTATTTATTTTATTTTTCAGTAAACTTAGAGGTGATAAACAACTTCAGCAACCTCTCTCTCATCTCCAGTGAAATCTGCAGACCAGCTCTAGGCAATTGAGCCTGTATTTTAACATGGATCTCAAAACCTGCTCTTGGAACGTCTCACACTAAAACAAAAAATTACCTACGAATTAGTCCAAATTGCAGTCAGTTGGACTAAATTAAACATAAGGCAAGAAGTATGCTAATTAGGCCCACAGATAAGAGATAATAAAAGGATGGTTAAAATCTGTTTTCGTCTGATGCTTGACTCTGCTGTGTTTAAGCATTTACAGACATTTTCATTTACCTTAATTATTTCAGGTTAATTCATGTATAATACAGTGAGTTATTGATTGTTTAAACAAGAACTGTTCAACAGTGTTATTTGGTATTTTTTTAAACAATATAAAGCACATGCTATTTTATTAAATGTTATTATTTAAAATTTTAAAGTCCTACTGAACCTCAATAACATAACTCACTTAGTAAGAAAAACATTTTATCCTCTAACTGAAGTTCCTGAGGGCCAGAGAAAATTAGGGTACACAATTATTAAATTGAAAAAAAAAATTGTTAGTCAAACAGTTCCCTTTGGTACTTATTTCTAGAGCTGGGGTCCTAATGAGCTTAACTTCTTTTGACTGTAGTGAAGTAAAT